GGGGTGGGCACTTAATGTCACAGAGCATATAACCAAAAGGGAAAACTTGCATTTTTTACATTTCCTCAAATAAAGTAACCCTAACGAATGAACTGATCATGGAAAATACTGAGCAAACATATTTTCTTTGCAAAAAACATTTCTGTGAATGGAGAAGCAGAATGTTTAGATGGCATCTTCTGATAATGTTGTGGTTGGTGCAGAAATGTGCTCATTCAGCCACTTCCCGAGTACCACAAATATGTGTGCTGAGGCAAAGATTCCAACTCCCAGTTACAATGTGTCTGCTCTGACTACTACCCAGAGGTACATGCATGTGGGTATACATGTACACACACACACACATATTGGTACATTAATGTGTGTGTGAGAGAGAGAGAGAGAGAGGCAGACAGTGAGTATTCCCTGTGGGCATTTGGCTGCAGCACTGGAGAAGATAAGGTAGTGTGATGTCTCCTGACATGGCCAATGATTCATAATTGAGGCAGGACAGCTGTTGCTGGCTGCTCTGACAGGTCCCTGGGTGGATGACAGATGATAGGGCCCTCTGGGGCCAAGCTATCTATCAGTCCAAGTGTTCACTGTCCGCTATCTGCTCACCTGTCCTTCATGAGCCTCCCCGGTGTATGTAAACCGAGTGGTCATGGACCCGCCATCTGTTTGACCTCACTATAATAACATTTTAAGTTGCTGCAATGTCAGTGTGCCCACCATATAATATATGGTCATAATACCATACATTAAAAAATATTAATCTTTTACAGAATTATTGGTGTATGTTGGTGTTAAAAAAAACAAAACAATAAAATGGCATTGTGATGTTTACCAAATAAACAATTACCGGTACTTTTATAAAACCTTGATAGTAGTGGAAGAGTTTTACTGGAACGTAATAATCTTTCTGATTTCTTTCTAAATGAGTAAGGTCGTTTACCTGCTCTTTTGTGATATTAAATAACAAAGAGGAAGGTATTTTACCTGCTCTTTGTAAAGTGTCTTGAGATAACGTGTTATGAATTGATGCTATACAAATAAAGATTGATTGATTTTGTCTTTTTTTTCCTGTTAAGTTTATTCAGATGAATAGTAGTAGGAATACATAATGATAATAATAAAATATAGAAAAAAGGAATTTTGCAAGTTTAGATTGGAATATAAAATAACACTACAGGAAAGCCATAATGCAAGCATAAACTCATCAATTGATAATATCTTTACAAAACAATTAAATGATATTACACTTTTTATTCTTAAAGTTATAAAGTGCACTCAAGGGATAAAAGGAGTAGCTCAAGTGCATTTATGTACAAGTGAATGTACAGGCGGGCAAAAAGATTGTCACTGGAATACATGGTTCACAGATAAAACATAAAACGGTGTGTCACCCGCATAGAGGTAGAATATGACATCTTATATCGTCAGTAATGGACATCATTGCTGGTGGTACGAGATACTCTCAATAGAAACTGCTGAGGAATGGCTAGAATGTGCACAAAAACATATGGTTGTTCAACCTTTATGTAGAGCGTATGTATATAAGTGATTAACAGCTTGCAACTTAGACATTTGCATGAATGAAAACCGAAAAAGTTTTATCAACTTTTGACTTGCAATGGTTTAGCCTTTGGTTCATATTAGAGAGTAAATATTTTAATGTTGACGAAAGAATCCCTCTTAAAAAGCCTTGTCAAATGGATGTGATGGTATAACTTTCAATGCAGTGCACATTTTTTATTTCTTGCCAGGTCTTTTATTCAGTATAACAAAACAGTCATCTTTGGAGCCACTGCCAAGGATTGAAAGGGTGAAATGTGCAAAGATAAGAAGCTTTTTATAAGTTCCATTGAGGCTTTTACTAGGAAACACAATTGATTTGTAGAATGATCTTTTGAGAGGCATTTCTTTGAAATACGCGTGAACGACGGTGGAATATCAGCCATCCATCATTGAATCACCAGCTCTACATAATAGTATAGGACGCAACTGAAATACATCGCAGGACGATAATTTGAAAATGAAAGTCAAAGATGAAGCAATTTGTAGCCTCTGTTTTTTTTTCCTTCATCTAAATCCTGAATAAGTACAACCTGAGTCACCAAGGCTGCCTGAATTGATCAGAAATGGAGTCCATGTCTAACTAGAATTGCAACTGCATAATTTCTGCGTTTCAGTATTATTCGTTATGTTAATATGTTAGCATGAATGTATACTCTGCTGCCCTTCTGTGTGAATTGGGAAGCTATAAGATGAACAAGTAGCTGAAGAAATCGGATTTGAAAAATATCCAAGCCCTCCATATTAACTCAGAGACAAAAAAAGGCAGATGAGTAAAAAAAAAAAAAAAACTGTGCCTAAGGCTCTGTCATTGCTGTTGCCCTTGAGAAACAGAGATTCTAAAATAATGTGAAAATCCTTTATTACTCACTGTGGCACTGCTGTTTAAGGCTCCCGCAACAAGAGTGCCACCTAAGCTAAAATGATAAAAACCTACAGCGAGGGTATTATAAAATATTCACAAATCAAAGGAGTGTCTTTTGTTTGACAATTTGGATCTGCTGTTTGCTCTCTGTGCTCACAGTTTGTCTGAAAAGCCTCCAGAGTAGTGTTGTGTTTAATTCTGTCCGCGATAAAAATCAAATCAATCAAAGTGGCTGGCCTCAAGGATCATTCAGGAGGAAGTCACCTCTATGCTTCGTCTCAGAGTGTCCATTAGCCTCTCTGTGCTCATTGTCAGCTCCCCTTCGACTGAGTGACAGTTAGTCAGCCTGACCAAATTCATTTTCCTGTCACTGTTGTGCAATGTGCTCATCCTGCCCACTGTCTCAGCTTTTCCAGTCTGCTGCACTAACACTCCAGCACACATATTACCTCAGGGACAACAGCCTTTGGAGGGCAACTATTTTTCTGCATCATAGCATACCTGAGGCCCCAGCCCACTACCTATGAGAGCATTAGCTTTCAGAACATGTTACGAATCTCACCGAGAGCTCAACAAAGACGTGGTTGAATTGGTCTGATGTTACACTTACCTTTCAAGGCAGGCAAAGGATCTATTTTGGACCTAGGTGGATGTTTTTCTGTATTTTTAGTTTCAGATAAGCACAGGCAAATTCACTAAAGGTATTTTCAGATACAAACGATATCTATTATATATCTCGATTATAATGGCGTTTTACAGTAATTCCAGAATCCAGAATTATTCAATGTGTCTGGTTGTTTTGAGTTGAATGCTTCAGATGGTGCCAACAGCAGCTACCACATGGCTACAAGAAACATCATCATCTACTTTTGTCAACACGTCCAAAGCAATGGGTGGAAATTCATTGCAGTTTGTCAACTGAAGAAAACAATGAGGATGTGTCACTGTTCAGTTAAGTTAAGGTTAAGACACAAAAGCGACTTGGGTATAGATTCAGAGAAAGATATCAGTCTGGTTGATCACACATACAACATTACTAATGAAAAATTGGAATAACTGAACTTTGAATATTGGTCACAAACTGTACACAAACTATAGTTTTCTGGGTGAAAGTCCATGTTTGTTTGATCCATCGGTCCAGCCTTACAACGTAGTGATTTTGTCTTTCCCTCTCATCGCTCATCATAATCTGAGTTCCTCCTTCGGTTTTCTCCCAGCATAATTATCATAGTACCTTTCGCAAACCTTTATCTATATACATACTGATCCATCAAAATATGACAGCCTTCTCAGTCAACATTAAGGCAGAGTGTGGCCCAACTACCGCACTCATATGCTGCTGATGACAACCAATGAAAGCCATTTCATGATAGGCCAATTACTGCCAAATGCACAATTTAAAGTCTGCATTGTTGCACTGAGTTGAATAAAACAATAACAATATAACACCTTCCGAACTAACTTCCTAAGTAAACACTTTCAAATGATCTGGACTTTATAAGTAGACTTAAAGTTGTATAAGCTTAAGTTAAGTCTGCCATGCAAACACATGTGAAGTAGAAATCTCTTGTTTTTATTGTAGAGAATACTAATAATGACCTGCTGTTGGATTAACATACCTCTTTTATAGCTCTTCAGGGAATTAATCAGATGTTGCTCCAAACTGTGTCAGTGCTCCATTATCCTGACAGTTTAACTACATGCAATCCTCCAGAGGTTCCCTCTCCAGATTTAGCTGCAGATGCTGTTCAAACCTGTTGAAGACATAAAGCGCTGCTGTCAGAAGGGCTCACAGGCACAAGGAGAAGTTTGACAGAGGATAAGTCAATCAGGCATAAAACCAAGAGTGGAATGACCCCGACAAATCCTACAATTACTCAAAAAACATGTCTACAATACGGGAGCAGGTTAATGAAGAAGCGACTAAACTAAACATATCCCTCTGCAACTGCTTTGGTACACAGCTGAGAAAATATCACAGCAGGTGACCCATTTTTTTCCCCCACAGAAACATCATTAGACTAAACTTGGCTTTAAATGGAAACATAACAGCGTCAGTGTTGAATTAAGATCCCATCTGGTGTGAGCCGAGGCCTCATAAGTCAACAGTTAGTCACCAGGTGTCTGTGCAGTAAGATCTTTATTTGTTCAGTATTGGGAGTTAAAAGGCAGTTTGTCTTTCAAAGAGTGGATATAAATGTGCTCATTCTAACAGTGCTAAAAATACAATGCACCAACTGCTAGCTTGATAATGCTTTGTACATATGTCACTCTAGAAAAGCCTTGGAAAATGGTGAAACACTCACTGAATATCATCATGCATGACACATGGAGGTGCAGCTGTGACAGCCAGTTTAACCATAAGGGCTGAAACTACATAACAATATATCCTGGAACTCAAATCGATTTCTTCAAATAGCTTCCGTTTACAAAATGACAAAAAGTGAAACTGTGAAGCTGGAACCAACAAAACTTTAAAAATGTTCCTTAAAAGGAACTTAATTTTTGATTATTAACTAAGTTTGTTGATTAACTTTCTTTCAATGGCATTTCTATTGTTGCGTGATCTCTTTTTTTACAGGTGCTTAACGTGAGTGTGATGGAATGGGAGAAGGTGACAGTGGAGGACACGGGTGGCCGAGAACCCTTCATCCTCGCTAATGAGTCGGTGTTGTTGAGGGGCCTCGTATTACGCAGCTGGAGCAACCAGATCTCCATCCGATTTCGTAGTGAGCAGCAACAAAACCCTGGATTCCTCCACCTGCACTACCAAGGTGAACCAAATACTTACAAACTATGGTGGCACATTAGTCCATCAGTCGAACAAACTAGCTTTGATACCAATATGTTTTATTTGAAAGTACAATGAATATGCTAGAGCCATAGTGGGGAAATACATTGTTTGAATAGATAATTTCAAGCAACAAGTTATCAGAGATTTGCATTCTATAACCAATTTATCAGGTAAAAGGGCACTAACCAGATAAGATTATATAACTATTTAAAGCTAACAGTAGTTGTTTGATAAGCAGATTGCTCCTATCATTAAAGAAGGCACCAACCCGCAAATACAGCCAAGTTCAGTGTCTGATTTAGCTCAGGTGACAACACAAACATGTCATAAATGGGTAATTGAACTAAAGAAACCAAATCCAGGCTGTAAACCTGTGTTATTCTGCTGTAAAGTTGTTGTTTTTTTAACATGGTAGTCAATGGAGATGAACTCACTTAAGGGACCTGCATCATGTCGCAAAAACTGCTGTTTTTTGGCAGATCAGCAGTCTTGGGGTTCGTCGCTTGGAGAAAAAAGTCAAATGAACACATTCTATTGAAGTTCTGATTCCCCTTGCCATTGCAGATATTTAACGTTACTAAATTAGCTTTTGAATGTGGTCAAATTGTTTCTACAAAAGTGCCCGATGATTGCAGAATCTCTCTTCGGAGATAGTTCCACTATGTTGTCCATAAATATGATGGATCATAAATTCCTCCCCTCTCTCCACTTGTTTTGTGCTTGACATTGATCCCCCATGTCCTCAACACTGTCTGTTTATCTTAGCAATCACACAAAGTGGCCACCAATTACATGCCCCATCGATTTGAGTTGATGGTGGAAGCTGTTGGACAAAACATTCATTCCACCACATTGCTGCAGCGCTTTCATCAGCTTGAAAATGAAAGCAACCATCAGAACTTTGACGCTGTTGCGAGATAAATCAGCTCTTCACTGTTAAATATCAGTGTGTGGTCAGGCTGAAGGATGACAGTGAAGTACAGATCCTACAGGGTGATGTATGTAGCAGGACAGATGGTGGCAAAGAGATGAATTATTAACCTGTCCACAGGTTATCGTTTGTCCTTCACTTCTCCCTTTTGCATTTTAGTAAATCTTATTCAGCAGAATGAATTCTCTGTATTATTAAAAACATTTATGTTGGGATCCACGCCATGTTACTGTTGGACAGGTAAGACGGATTGCCTTGTTGCAATATGCACCTAATACAGACTTTATGTGGAATCTACACTCGGTGTTGCTGCCCACATTATAGACGAAACAGTTGGCTCCTGTTTACTTTGTGATTCACTTAACATTTGCTTAAACCCAAGTAATAAAAAAAAAATACATAACCAGGTTCCTTATGTTACATGCAAACATCTTATCCTAAAAGAGATTCATTCTGGAATAAGACTCATAACCCAGATATCTATGTGTGCAGGTATGCTTATGAACCAGCCACATACTTTATGATGTATGATGTTTGGCCTTTGCCTTTATTAGATTGGACATCTTAAGAGAGATAGGAAAGGAAGGCAAGAGAGAGAAAGGGGAAGGCATGCACCAAACGGTCGAAGGTGTTGATTCAAACCAGCGACCAGTGCATTTCTTGCCTCTATTTATAATGTGTCTGCACTACTGACTGAGCTAAACCAAACGCCCCTGCAAATACTTTTATAATCAGTTATGTATTAAAAGTATGAAATGATAAAAGTGGTAATAATCTATACTCTAGAGTGTAATCCTGGTGATTATTATTAATATAGAAGAGCTGTTAGGATATGAGGTAATAAAGGTTATAAAGCCAAGTTTTCTGCTTCTGTCAGTCCTTATAAACTCAAGCACATGATACATTTACAGTACTGAACTAAATTTAAGGCTGATCTATTTTTGTGATGTTGAAATGGGACAAAGACACTTGAGAAGATAAGAATCAGGACAAGACTCACACTGCAGGTATCAGCATGCATATAAAAATACAGATAGACAACTGACTGTGTGCTAGTGACAGAACATCTCTTATATTTCAAACCATTTTGGTTATGAAACGATCAATTCGCAAAAACTGGACTGCAGATTTGGCCAAGGGCTCTAAATTGACCTAAAACGCCTCTGAGTTGCTGAGCGTCTAACTTTTTCCTTAATAACTTTATCTCAAGATTGTTAAGCAACACTAGATGTCCTTGATATAATAATATGTGTTGTAACAAGTCAAAAAATAAAACTATCTTAAAGAATGCATTGACAGAGTCTACTGTCTGTGTTGTAAATGTCACCAGGAGCTAGATTAGACATGTATTGTCCACCTAACAACATACTGGACTTGAAGTTGATGGAACACATTTTGTGCCACTAACAACAACAATTCAAAGAGCAGATTTCTAGCATACTAGACATATTGGAGACACATAAGATATTTCAATTTGTGTTCCTCTCCTTGGTAAGCAAAGTATCACCTTGTCCTTTATAATGGACTGTGAAAAATGTGATTGGGCAAGCGTGGAGAAGCAGACAGAACTGTGGAGAGATGGATCTCAGCTCAGGGTAATTAATATCTGTGACAGTGTTGCCTCTGTCTGCAATGGCAGACTGATGGATGTCTCTATAAAACCAGCAGTGAGCCTGACACTGGCAACATGACTATAAGTGTGCTTTATTGTAAATATGTATAGAGTTGTAAGTCGGGGTGTGGGGCAGGAGAGGCTTCAATTTCTCAATACACACATGCGCACATATCCTCATCTACATAAAACCCATTGTCCAATCAACAGTAATTTTCAGAGACCAAAAAAAACAGCAGCTATAAAATATATGAAAATGCATGCATGCAACTTGTGATGCACTCACATTAAACGTGAAAAAATGCACCCTGAGGGAATAAACCCTATACTGTATGTACACACTCTGCTGGTAAAGAAACACATTCATACATAAATACTGCATGTGGTGTAAGTCACTACTAGTGTCTTGTTTCCTTTGTCCAATGTAAAACATGACAAAATCAACATTTTCCTTTCTGACACAAGTATTTTGTTGCAGTAAGGAAGAAAATGATCCAACATATCGGCCTGCAAGTGAGAAAAATATGCAATTTGCAATATTTATGTTCAAAACTTGAATGACATACGCAACATTGAATATAAAAAACATATTGAATGTGTATTATGAAATGTAATTGACAGTTTGTCTTTCTGCTGTTCTACACGTTTCAAACTTCACCTGTGCTTAAAAGTTTTCTTTCTTAATACAATATTATTTCAAACAACATAAATATAAATTTCCATGAATATTAACTAATAAATCAAAGCATAGCTGACTACTTGCCTGGGCTCCATCTGATTGATCAATGCTTGGATGCTGAGTGTAAATGTATAAATAAATTAAAAAGGAAAAAAAAAAAGCACTCTAGTTTTTGCGTGTCAAGCAGGCTTGTGGCTTTTTTGTTTTTAGGTATGCTTCAACCTAAAAGACTATAAAGTAATAATGAATTGTACAGCTGTTAGTAACAGTATGAAATACAATCAGAATACATATATTTATACAGCAAAGTAATGTATTAATTTCGGACACAAAACATAGTTTTGTGCAGTTATGAACTTGAAGTGTATATCAATGTAAACCATAATATCTCATTAAAGATTATATGATACTATCATTACAAAACAACATGTGTTTCAATAACAGTAAAACAGTAGTTTTATAAGTGTACAAGTGTATTCACCAGATAAGCATACTAATTACCAAACAGGGAAATGTATCTCTACATTAAAGCTTGTCTAGCAGTACAAGCTTCTTTTAGTATTTTTAACTGAAGGCTCAGAGAATGGCAGTATGTATTGTAAAAAATAAAGTATTTGTATTCATGACCATTGTTGGTTCTAATTCCTAAATATGTCACTGACAAATTTGGACCACCCTAACCTAATTTTCTCCGAATCAGGAAGTAACTTCATATAAACTGAACTTATTTATACATTGATTCTACCACAACTTCTTTGTTATCTCGTTGATGGAATGATTGTCATCCTTTAATACCCCTTAAAGTCTCTTAAGAGGCTTAACTTGTCATTTTCAGCTTCACTTAAGTAGAGCATAATCAATGGCACTGCCTATGGCAGCGATGTTTTACAGGAATTATCGATTGGCTGTTACTAATAAGCCTGGTTGACAAATCAGGTGGCAGGAGGACCTGTGTCACTGGCAGCAAGCCACCATTTACCACAACTTCTTCGTATCATTGATGAGACGCAACCTCCAGTCCAAAGTTATTTCTCTTTAATAGTCTTTATTGAGTAAATGACCATTAAAATCGAGTTTTTAACCAGACCACATAAATATCAATAGGCCATATCATGGCAGAACTATGGGCTGGCTTTCTACAAGTGAATCACTTTCCCAGAGACAACACTATTGATCTTTCTGTAAAAGGTAATGCTTTGATGCACAGCCAGGACACAAGGCTTGGATACAGTGGCAGTAAATTCTTCCTGCAAGTTATCTGCTCTCCGCTGCTATCTGAGAACAGTAAAACAACAACTAACCAAGAGATTACTTAATCTGGGGGGTTATCTCTGTATCTTGATGTGACAAGAAGTGGTAGTATTCTCCAAAATACTGTCATTAAATATTAAAACAATCAAAACTACATTCATGTTGCTCTGTCAACCTGTTCCATTATCTCCTGCCCTCACCTTGCTGAGTTTCATCTCATCCCAGTTCCCCACCTGAAGAGACTCATCTAACACTTAAAATGACAAATATTCAACAGTTGATCTGGTCTAAATTGAAATGCACCTTTTTTTTGTTTGTCCAAATCTGGTGTCTTGTGTCTTCCTCACCTAATCCATTGTGCCCTAGTCCACAGTGTTTGAAGAGCAGCGTTCTCAATTTGAAGTACTCAGGCAAATGAGAAAAGCAACAGCGGTAAAGGCAGGAGTGTGTGAGGCGCACTAACTTCTCCTGAATATGTCAGTGTTTTTGAGTGATTGATTGCAGGAA